GATTTGCATATACTGCATGTATCTATCTCGTGATATGTGATTGCACTATATATTATAAAGAATAAGAGAGCTTATGTGATACTTTTCCTCATAATTAAAGTCAAGCAACAAGTTTACATTTTCTAAAATTGGTAATTTTGCATTTAATTTTCTTTAGTAGTTACATTTCACAAAGACCTAATGGATAGCATTAGACATCTTTATAGTGGGCTATAACATACTGCTCTTATTTTAACTGATCCAGCTAAAATTAAAATGTACCTTTCTTTTTTAGGAGAACCTTTCAGCATTTAAACGTGATCCCCAAATCAATATTTTGCTGCTGCCCCTGCACACAGGTTCTAATGGATTAACTATCATTGAAGCAACTCATGTTCTCTTGGTGGAGCCCATATTGAACCCTGCCCATGAGCTTCAGGCCATAGGGAGGGTGCACCGAATTGGACAGACAAAGTAAGGACTAAAATTAGCATCAGTCACAATTGCTTCAGTTTTCTAAGAAACCAAGTCAGCACCTAAACTCTTCATTTATGTTCATCATAGCCTATTTGTTTTTAATTACTGCCTTATTTATGAAATTTTTAGGCATTATTTTATGACCAAAAGGCATGAGATTTCCAACCCTCCCTCCTTCAAGCAGCAAACCCCCAAATTTTCCCAAATTTTTGTCTTCTTTCCTACAAAAACCTGATCACTTCATCAAAAAAAACTTGTTAGAAATACTTAAGACAGCTACAAAGTTGAAGATAGCCATCATGACTTTGAGAAGAATGGATTTTTGATTGTCTGAAATAGGCCTGTGTTTAAAAGAAAACATATCTCATACACAACTGAAAATGGCTCGTTTTTAAATTCTCACCCTTAGAAAAAGACATCCCCCAGGTCAGCTCTAAGAAAGAACTAGATTTTGTTTAAGGCCCAAAGCAAAGCTAATAGTGAAAGTTATGTGGTATGTATTACCTTTATTCAAATATCAGAATGGATGATTATCTTTTTAAGGCCCCCCCAGATGTATTACCTCCTGGATGTTAGATGCCTTGAATGTTTTTTAAAAAGACACACATCCACACTAAACCCTCATTAAATCAATATTTATATATTGAGTACCTACTGTATGTCAAGCATTGTGCTAAATATTGAAGATTCAAATTGAATAAGACAATCTTTTCCCTCAAGGAGGTCACTATGTAGTACAGGAGACAGATGATTTAAAGTATTACAGTAGAATGTGTAAAAGTTTAATAATAGAAATACTAATAAAGGCAGTGATCACTTGTGCCCTAGAGAGCCAGGGAGGACTTTATTATGTTGAGTCTTGAAT